CTATTTACCCCTACGATACTGATCCCCACGACCCATCTTCCCAGACCAAAAAATAGATCCCATAAGGGGTTCCTATAAAGTACCCTTTAGTAGTTAGGGTCCCAAATTAGGGGATCTATTTTTTAGATCCTCCCGGTGGTCTTTGCTAGGGCTGTTAGGCTAAACCCTAAACCCCAAACCCTAATCTCTAAACCCTAAACCGTAAACCCTAAACCCTTGCCTTGCAACCTCAAAACCAAAGCGAGATCTGCCACGAAGGTCGCCAGCGCGCCGAATACGGAGCAGGTCGTGGACAGCGTCAAGAATCCCAGTAGCTGAATGGTTTAGGGTTTAGGGTTTAGGGTTTAGGGTTTACACCTATTGGGGTGATTCAATTCCCTATAAAACAGAAGGTTAGGTTTTTGGGGGGTCTATGACCTCAGCAACGAAGGAATGCCGCCAGCGGGGCCGCGGGAAAGGCCCAAGAAATGGTGGGGAGCCCAGGATACCGTTTAGGGTTTAGGGTTTAGGGTTACCCATCCCCCCCCCCTCCCGGATCCTACTTGGAGGTTCATGGGACTCAGCACGCACGGTTCCAAGTACCCCAAGTATATAGGCGCTTTACCCTAAACCCTAAACCCTAAACCCTGACCCTCAAGTACAGGGTAACGCCAAAAGCGCAAGCCCCTAAACTCAGAATTTGAGGGTCAGGCTTAATATGGATTTCCGGCTACTTTGTAATGATATTCCTGTGTAAGTCCCATATAAGAGTACAAGTTCTAGATTTTATATATGGAAGTGCTAAACCCGATTCGGAACTAAACCGTAAACCACCCTAAACCCTAAACCCCTAAACCCTAAACCCCTAAACCCTAATCCCTAAACCCTAATCCCTAAACCCTAAACCCCTGAACCCTAAACCCCAAACCCGGTTCGGAACCGTCTGCGATGTTCATGGGCTCTTCGCCAGACAGCAGCGACTGGAGTGAGGGCAAGTGCTCTCCGCCGGAGTGCGGACAAGGGTTTAGAGTTTAGGGTTTAGGGTTTAGGGTTTAGGGCACCAAGGAGGTCTTGAAGCACTTTGGGCTGCGGGTTTGACAGAACCGTACGATGCAGCGGCAATACGCTTGGGAAAAGGGACACGTGAAGAACATCTTCCCATTGCCAGAGGGCATCAAGATCAATCCGTCCAAAGCCATGGAGATGAAGCCTGAAGAGAGGAAGCTCATGGAACCGGTTCGAACTTTTGTACCGCGAAATTTCAACGGGTCATGGTACGATGCGATCACGACTTTGGAGGCACGCACACTCAATCCACCGAAGCCATCGTGGAACGAATGGTGGACAAGTGGTATGCAAAGGACGTTGATCCGAGATTGCTGGCTGCTAACAGGGCTACCTGTTTCAAAGCGTCGACTATCCATGGCTCTGCTCAACATCGATCGAGAAGAAGAGATGCTACTTCCTGACGTTGGGCGAGACATGTTGGAAGCCACGTGTGGCATGCTCTCGGCCTCTGCCGCTCGCAGATGGGCTGGGATGGTCCAGTCCATGTTGTACGTCTAAGTTCGTGAGAACCTGTGATCCACCAGGGAAAGCCTAAACCCGATTCGGAACTGAACCCTAGACACTAAACCCCATTCAAAACTAAAGGAAAAACCCTAAACCCGATTCGGAACTAAACCCTAAACCCTAGACCTACAGATCCCTTGAAGACTCCTTCAAGAAACCCTACACCCGAAACTCTAAACCCCAAACCCGACAGATCCCTTCAAGGAACCCTTCAAGACAAACCTTAAACCCTAAACCCTAAACCCTAAACCCTAAACCCTAAACCCTAAACCCTAAACCCCATTCCGAGAACTCCGGAGTCTCCTGGCTTTCGGTCCCAAGGTGGCGAGCATGCCGGATTCGGGGCAGGTGGTGGAGGACTGAACCCTCAAGGGTTTAGGGTTTAGGGTTTAGGGTTTAGGGTTTAGAGTTTGGGGTTTAAGGTTTAGGGTTTAGGGTTTAGGGTTTGGGGTTTGGGATTTAAGGTTTAGGGTCTAGGGT